TTTAAAGTAGATGAGTTTTTGCATCTGTTAACTGAGTAAAGCAGCTTGGCTGGGCCTAGGTTGTTAAAAATCAGTTAGTAAGTACTTGAAAAGCAGTTTATGATTCTTACCTCTTCATTCTCCTCTTTGTTCAAGGAGACATCATCTATTTCACCACAGTTTATTGAGAGAGCCTCTGAATCCATATTATCAATACAGACGCAGTAACTAATCAGTTAATAAGTAGTTTTAAGTTTAAATCAATGTGCAGATAATTACGGAGGAGAAATTGAAAATGAATTTCATGGTATGCATTACAGTATTTAAATGTTGACCTGGGAGGTTGAGAGTGCCAAGACAGGTGGGGCGTCCACCTCATCTTTTTCAAGGTCCACCTGACCTGTAACCTGCTGTATTTCCGATGCACGCCGGGATCATGTACAAATACTCCGCATGACCTGGGGAGAATGGACAACGCCAGCTGCAGTGCTACCCTCCGAACTGTACCTCAGCATTTTGCCAGCTTCAAGATGTCTGCAGAGTGGGTGTGCCTTGACACCAAATCGAAATGAGCTTTCCCCTGGAACTTTGCCGGAGCATCGCCCCGCTCGAGTTATAGACAGGCTCCGTATGATGCTGTACCTGGATCCCGAGAAAGCTCAATGCGGACCCCTAACCAGTATCGTAGCCCATGGTCCGTTCCAATTTACGAGAGGATTGGGGAGGATTGTCCAACTCAGGGTTGGCGCCACCTTGTGGTAGCATGGCAGGCGCCTTTAGGCAACGACCGTCAGCACTTGCTCGTTGTCGTGAGATTCACCCCGTTGTGTTAGAAATCACGTCCTGATATGGAACCTTGTTCCGCCCATCCACAGGCTGCAGTTCACATGTGCCATACAGCTGGTCTCGAAAAAAGACCCTTGCCCATACTTTTCCGGTAGCAGATACCCCATTATCCCGCAAAGGAAATTGCTACGCTTACGCGAGCCATGACAGCGATTTGGAGATCAAAATTAAGACCCGCAACCACGGCACCTACTGGGCACAAATTGTCAGCAGGTCTCAGCCAAAGATGTTCTAGGCCCCTGAACAGCTTGCCAACCAGCAATCCAAATAACCGAACGCCATGACCGGGTCCCTGCTGTCGGCAGTATAAGAGCTATTCTTACGCCAGACTAGATGAATTGCAAGCCCTTGAAGAACACACGTCTAATAATGATCTTCCCTGTGAACTCGACCAGCATCATGCCTGGCATACCTCCTGAGGCAATACTTGAAGCTCTCATCCCCGGTTATGGCTTTTTCGCCCGCCTTATTTTCAACCTCGGCAATGATATCTCATCCTCATTCTTTATTCTCATGGCGTCGTTGGCTTTTGGAGCGTATGCTGTGCCAGCGTTCCGGAGCCGGCTCCAAACTTTCATTCTAGCCTTTGCCGCGTCAATTGAGATCAGATACAATGACGAATTGTACAATAGTTCCTTGCGCTGGATTTCCAGGCGAAATAGCTTGAACAGAACGCTGCATCTCGTTGCTGGTGCAGGAAAATTCCAACCTTGGGATGACGAGCACATCGACATACGAGAGAACTCACCGAGGAAGACCATTTGCGCTTCGAAAGCAACCCGCGAGATTTCTGGACCAAACGAAAGTACTTAGAAAAACTCCCGACAGTTCGCTATACGCCAGGACCCTACCATCTTCATCATTTCACCTACAAAGGATGCTGGATCGCCTTGCGCCGTCAACCATATGAAAATATACGCGTTCCTTGGGCTGCTGATATAGAAAAGTTGCAGTTTTATGCAGCACCATGGAGGACGCAGACCCTTAAATCACTCCTTAGCGACGTACAGGAGTCCTCCGTTGAGCATGATAATCGCCGCATCGTTATAAGAAGGGCAGTGAGGTTGGGATCGAAATTCGAGTGGACGGACGAAACATTCAGGAAACCGCGCCCATTATCGACGATTATTATGGACCATAGACAGAAGAAGGAAATCATCGAAGACCTTCAGAATTACCTCAACCCTCGTACCCGCCAATTCTACCAGTCGCGGGGTTTCCCTTATCGGCGGGGTTACCTTTTGTATGGTCCGCCTGGTACAGGAAAATCAAGTCTGTGCTTTGCCCTCGCTGGTCTGGCGCGGCTCCCCATCTATTTAGTCAGTCCCAGTGCCACTGGCCTGGACGAGTGTAGCCTAGGGAGTCTCTTCCGATCTCTACCGGAACAGTGTATTGTTCTTTTTGAAGATATTGACCAGGCCGGCATTCGGAAACGCAACTCCGGTATACCCCTTTCCCATGAACACGAGGAAACAGTTGAAGACGAAGAAAGGAGTGTTCAAGAGAAGGGAACAAATGGCATCACTCTTTCTGCTATACTCAACGTTCTTGGCGGCGTGGCCGCCCAGGAAGGTCGCATTCTAGTTATGACTACCAATCACTTTGAAGACCTTGATTATGCCCTGGTGCGTCCCGGGCGCGTGGATATGAAAGTCTTCTTGGGCCACGCAGACCAGTCAGCCGTCCAAGAACAATTTCTCACAGTCTATTTAAAGCCTGTCGACGAACTTGTTATTGGAAATCGGGACTCAGCTGGTTCCATCTGTCCATTATCTGCGCCAGCCAGTCCAAAGTGGGCATTGGATGACATTGTCAATCTGAAGCCAAGTCCCTTCGGGTCGACATGCAGCGGCGGAGATTCAGAATTATCTTTTGCAGTATAAGGACGACCCGTGGTCAGCAGTGAATTGTGTCAACAACTGGCTACGCCAAAAAGGATAAGAGCTGTCGTTCCCAGAACTTTGCGGATGTCAGCCGTCGTATGGGGCAGAGTTAAAAAGAGTGGACAAAGGCCACCAAGGTATTGTGCAGAAAGGGTCAGTTTTCATTTCACAATGTCAACATAACACTTTAGACCAGAAACAATGCAACATAAATAAGAAAACATTACTCATAAGTCTTGAAGGGCGCTGATAATGTTGTCTTTCAATATACTATTACCCCATCTCAATACTGCCGAGAGATGGCGCAAGAAATCTAGAGAGCTGTCTTTCAGGGTTGTTCTCCAGGTCCCTCTGCACACCATATAGAAGTCTTCTTCACCAGCTCTCCGAAAATGCAGCCACAGTTCGTGGATTGGCCCCTTAGCGGTGATAGAAAAGGCCAGGAGTAGAGAAAGACCGGGTGTTTTGATTGTGCTCCGTGAGAGCATCATACATAAGACAGGCAGCCTTAGGCCGCTTCGATGGTAATAACCCAGGGGGAAGAGAGCGTGCCTGCTTCATTCGTGTCAATGCGATATTCTTCTAGACTTAAAGGGAGAGTCAAGCTTCTTTTGGAAGAAACATGACGTGTCAGGCGAGGCAGCCGAAGATAAACAACGCCAAGACAAACAATGCCAACGTGACTCAGTGCCAACCTCTTCTGAACAGAAGGCCCAGTAAGGCCAATTTGAGTGAACCGCCTAATCAATATCTGTTTGAAATTGATGCGAACCAGGAAATCTCTATTGCTTTTAGTTGAGTATGAGCCAGTCTCCCGACATCGTACAGTAAATCAAATAAAGGGCCACAGCTTTCACATACCCAGCACAACCAACCTCACCAATTCAAATATCGGGTCCCTGGGCCGCAATTAATGTCACGTTAGACGCGCTGTACGTGTCTATCAACTAATACCCAAGTCGTCGCCTCATATTCTTTTTGTTCTGCTCAGCAGAGCATCTAATGAATCGTTGGCTCGCTGTTTCGTGTCATTGTCAACCTTTAATCTTGGGGAGACAGCCACGGCAACGGAAGGCAACGGAAGATCATCGGTCCGGCTTTGATAGGAAAGAGGTACTGATCCGTACATATGAAAGAGAGGTGTCCATTGTTCGACATGTGTAGCTTTAGCTAGGAGAGTTGATCTAAAACACCGTTGAAAGCAGTTCCAAATATGTTATACTTGTGGCACGTTCCGGAACATACTTGCAAATAGGAACCTTCCCAACTCTTGAACTGATCAGAGCGAAGTCATTCATTTGTCAGCTCTTACGCGATAGTAAATGGTCATTATGGTTCATTTCTTCCGTTGATGAATTGCAACGAAAGGATGGCGACTGACTAAGGAAACTTTTGAAGCAAATTAGCGTACGAAACCAGTTCTTAAGAGCACCCAAAGAGTTTAGCAACATCTAAGGATAGGGTCCAACTAGGTGTAGCTGCTCAAAAGCAGGCTCCATTACACAAGCGCATTCTGTTAACTTTTAATCAACAGGACTCAATCTGCTCATAGTAATGGGCGGATATATGTAATACAAGGGACTAGAATTCTTTTTGTCTAGCTAATCTCTAGCCCCAAAGGTGTCTCCACCATAGAGAGTTGATCGCTCTGTTGATCACTCTGTTGGATGGGCTACGTTGTTAAACCTTGGTTGATCAAGTCTGGCTATGGACTATTCCAATTTCATACGGCAGTGGGGGAACGTTCCCGTATGGCGACCCATAATGAATTGTGCCTATCAAGGTCAGCGGTCGGGGATGGCAGATCAGATCCAGAATTTAGACACTAAACTAGGTCTGGATGTGCTAAACCAGAAAGGAGAAGCTCCGGAGAGTAGCTAAACCCAAACAAGCCAGTGGCCGAAAGCGGCAGGCTGCTTCGTGACTGGATCAAGAACACCTGCCCAGGTATAATAGGTTCTTATTTAAAATAAATCCCCACAGAAATTCTAAAGTAAATAGTTCAGTCTAACTATATTAAATTATTTAACTATATCTACTTAGTATAGTTCATTTCAGGGCCACAGCGTGCGGAGCGCGCGTCATAAGCAATTTATGAATTTTCTTAGTTTACAGTTCGCAAAGACTTAATCGGTTTCTTATATCTCTCGAGAGGCATTACTTACGTAAATTGCCATTCCCACTGCCGGTGGCAAGGATCTTACGAAATGTCAGCAATATTACCACATCACACTGATCAGGCTTACACAACGACATCTACATGTAGTTGCAATAATGACGATTCTCAGGAGATGTGAATACATCGTTATATTTGCGTGATTTCGCCAAAGACTTTACTAGCTCTTCGGTAACCTACACTCGATCAGGCTCATCTGACTCCGACACTCGTAAACCTTCTCCACCACCAGGCCAGCCTGGTGAATCAAACCCCTAAAGTCATCCATCGTCCGTTCTTTGCTGTTGAAGAGGGACATCATGACCAGATCACGCTCGTGGCTGTATCGGTTGTAGATGCCGTAGTCCGCCGGTAGCGGCTTTGGTGCGTCGGGGATTTCTTTGGTGCCCAGCGAGTTGTTGATGACCATTTCACCGATCAGCACGCGGGAATCAGGCGTCATCGCAGTCGTCAGGGCTTTGAGAATTTGGATGCATTCAGCGTCAGGCCAGTCATGTCTGGACAAACACATAGTCAGATCGTTGGCGAGATGTAACTGTTTTCGCCATGGAGTGAACTCACAGGATCGTATGAAGGAAATATACAGCCGCTCCAGTCACCGATTGCGGCTGGAAAAAATCCCCTGGAGTCAATTGGACTTTGCCATTCTGGACATATTCGGGCAGCTCTCTAGTCCATAGAGCCACACCTTTCTCGATGACCTCCGGACGATCTTGGACGATGAAGTTCAAATTGGGATACACTCGCGCGACGTTCATGGAGTGCGTACCTAGTTGTATTTCAGCAGATGAGTGGATGTTTGTGACGCTGGATTTATGCAGACGATGTCTACTCACCTACCCCGCCACCAACATCCACCACGATCCCATTACCGAGCGTGTCCCATGGATAATCGTAAATCATTGCTGTGCTACTTACTCGGCCTATACCTGTCATGGCCTTGGCAAAGTAGTCCAATTCCGGTCGTGGTCCAACTGTGCCGTCATCCTGTTTCACTTCCGTATTCAGCCAGTCCCAGAAGGACAGATTGGTATCATAGGCGATGTTGAATGCCGTGTTCGTGTTTGTCGCAGCATAGCCTCTTCCGGACCGTCGAATAGCTGCGGGAAGACTCTCAGTGACCTTGTAATGGCAGATCGAGCTGAGCAAAGGAGTCAGATCAGTGCAAGCCTAAAGACGTAGTTCATATTCTTACAAGACCATGAGATATGACCGAAGACTCTCATTTCTAACCAAACTTGCGGAAACGCGATTGTTGGCAAAGTATGTGTCGGAAATCTCACGAAAGATACCGATCGAAGTTAATACTCGAAGTATGCGCACTGCATGGCCGCATCAGAATATGCATAGGGGTATCGATAGATATATATCTCTCGCAGACTCACAAAGCATGCCTGCATCCACGTTAGTTTTCTGCGCCAGCTCGTCAACAGCCACTCCCTTCTCGTCGTTTGCAGCCACGAGGTCGGCAATCCGGTGCTCAGCCGCAATATGCAGCGCCCTGCTCTCGTAGAATTGGCACGAGGTCTCAATCAGCCGTATGGGTGGGCTCGAAACGAGCTCTTGGATCTTGCCAATCGCGCCCAGAATGGTTTTGTGGGCATCGTAGGAAGCTCTGGTCGGTAACAGTACGCCGTTCTCAAGGATCTGGCCCTCTGCATCGTCCGACTTCCACTGAGCGATTAGGCATTCGACTGACGAGTTTAAGATCCGAGTGGCTTCGCTCAAGTCCGCGATCTGTGTCTGAATTTTTGTATTTGCCATGTTGCACGTAGGGCGCACTGTAATTTTGGGAATTTGGGAGCTGAGGACAGAGGGATTTGCTGGACAAGACTCTGAATTATGATTTCTAACCCAATCTATGGCGATCTATAGATTGCCTTTTATTTTTCCTTTATTTTCATTCGATTCTTGTTTTTCTCCTGCGGTGATTTCTGGGATATTGAGCGTGAACGTAATACAAGTCGAGTCGCTCGCTTGTCGATGGAATCGATCATCGAACTGCATATGCATCCCGCGCAATGACGCCCCTCGCCAATAAGCGACCATCAACATGGTCGACGACCGAACCTATATGGATTCCTCACTGATTGGTAACAATATAGCATGTGGTTTATTTGGAGCCTGGAAACAAGGGCATTGAGAAAGATTTCCTCTCCAGGTTCTCCAAGTTCTCCAGCGCCAATTCTGTAATCTCTGCACACTCCTATCTCGACATCAGCAATGGGTTCTCTGGATACTGGGATTTCATTCGCAGGTACGTATATGCTTTGGTAGGATCTGTCCGAAACAACAGTCAGAAGACTAACTCCAATCACAGAGTATCTCGCCTGCAGCGAGCTCACTTTCGAGTGGGCTGACAGCTACGATACGAAGAACTGGAGCCGTCTTGCGAGCATTCTGGCCCCCACAGTCAAGGTAAAAAGATCCAAACAGCCAGCAAATGATGACCAATATACTAATCTGGACCGGGTACTGTGAAGATTCACTATGCCTCCGTCAACGACTTCAAGGACGACAAGCTCCCCGCCGCCGAGTTCGTCAAAATGATGTCCGCCCCGGAGTTCCTGGGCGACCCCTTAATCCACACCCAGCACATGATGGGGGCATTTAAATACCGGAAAATTGCTCCAGACCTCATCGAAGGCTATCACCAAATCCGCGCCGCACACCAGCGATACACGGGCCCCGATTTCCAGGAGGTCGAGGCCAAAGGACATGGACACGCGGTCATCACGCTGACTTATAGAAAGGTGGATGGCGAGTGGAAGTGGGGGGGGATAACCACGGATATCAGGTGGAATGAATTCGAATTTCACAAGATTTTCAGGTTTAAATGAAATGGAAGGCCATAGACTGTGTACCCATTTATTGAAGCGTGAAAATCCAGGGAATATTTTCTGCCTCTATTGTTGTGTCCCTACTGTGTTGCCTACTACCACTATTATCCCTACCTAGCTAGAGATGGTCATCTAGACACCTTTTTAGCTAAGTAGTGATAATATAATAGGTTATGAGCCTCTTTATCTTATTCCCCTGAGGACCTCCTACACAAAGGTTTAATTCCCAGAAGATGTGTTAAAATATTATAACTAGGCTAGTCAGTAATAGTAGATTAATATAAAAAGAAGACTATTAGATTAAGATAGATTATAAATAATCTGGTTAGCTGCATGAAGGGCTATACTACTAGAAATTAGCCCCTAGATTAATTACAATTAATTATAAGATATAAGGCTTGATGTCTACCTGAATAATTTGCTGCCTGAAACCAACCCAGTAAGATAACTAGTATAAGAAGGTTCAGGTATGCTACTCTGACTGCTCCGCTGCTATACCTGGGGGGGTGTGTTATGTCCCTACTATGTTGCCTACTACCACTATCATCCCTACCTAGCTAGAGATGGTCGTCTAGACACCTTTTTGGCTGAGTGGTGATGATACGACATCTATCATCGGACCATGTACCATCACGTATGACCACTTCTGCCTTGATGACATCAATGTTTCATTGGTTCTGACGGAATGAGCATTGACCTGTGCCAAAGAATTCGTATTAATAACGAGACAACAATCTCGTAGACTCATGTTCGTTCTACGCCATGAACAATGTATAATAATGTGAAATAATACAAGAACGAAGGATATGTGTATCTCTATACACTTGATCTCGATGACTCAAGCGTCAGATATGGATTTAGGAGGAGAGTGTGTTGCGAGCACATCTGATCAGAAGTAAGACCAACCGATGGGAGACTTCTTCATCTTACCATCTAGCCCCGTATATCTCTTGCTGCTGACCCCACAAGTGAGAGGTATACATAGGATCGGCTGCGGTAGATATATTTATCCTCCGGCTTCCAGAGTCATGTAAATCTTCTCGCGCTTCAGGAAAACTGAGCAAACGATCATGGTCGCACCGGCTGCCACAACCAAATAGTACAACGAACCGATGGAACGAACAATCGCCAGATTCACTAATTCCTTAAGGTCGTCGGACAAGTTCTGGTAAACGGGACTTTGTGAGCCCGAGAGGACAGAGCGAATTGACTGGGAATTGAATCCGGCCGCACTCAGGGGCCCGACCAAGTCATTATAGGTCAAATTCTGAAAGAGCGTTCCGGAGATAGTCAGCGCAATAACGATGGCACCAATCTGGGCGATGTTCATAAAGGCAATGGCGCTGGGGACGAGACGACCTTCGACTTTGGCCGGAGCGATCGAGTATCCAGCCTGAGACGTAGCCCCAGCTCCAATCGCAATCAGAATGGTATACCCGTAAATAGCCGAGGTGGAGGTCGTCGACTTCACTGTCGACATCAGTGCACCACCGATAATGATGGTGACTCCACTGAATAGGAACCAAGGCATGTAATACCCCAGCTTGGGCATCAATGCCCCGTTGAGGAGCATGAAGAAGACGAGGAGACAAACGAAGGGCAATAGTCGAACGGCAGCCTCCATGGCGTCATCTCCCCGGAACTGGAAGAAGAGGGGAATATAATATAGCGGAACGAACAAGGCCGCCCCGCAGGACGCGGTCAGGATATGCAGTAATACCGTGGTTCGGCGCTTCAGCAGCTCGCCGGGGAAGATCCGCATCTCCTCGTTGGTGAAAATGCAGAAGTACTGTGTCAAGCTGAAGGCAATGAGGGTTACTCCGAAGACGACGAAGACTGCAATGGTTCGTCCGTCGCCCCAAGGCCAGATGACACCACCAAAGGTGAGTGCGATGATCCATGTTGCGTAGATGGCTGTGTAGAGCACTGTCCCCAGCCAATCCATGGCGACCAGTTTCTGGAAATATGTCCGAGACGGATCTGGCTGGAAACCTGGGACCAGGAAGAGGTAGACGGGGGCGAAGACAGCACCAATGACGAGATTGATGTAAAAAGCCTGGTCTCCTTGGTCAGTAGGGGTCTGATGGTGCGATATGGGGACATACCCAGCGCCAGGTGGCAGAGCTCTGAACAAATGCACCGCCAATGACAGGTCCGAGGATGGTCCCTAGTAATCGTCAGCAAGTTATCTCTCCATCACGATTCATACGAACGAAGCTGACCAACTCCCCAGACCATCCCGTTTAGCGCCATGTAGAGAGGCCGTTGTTCGAGTGTCGTAAATATGGCGGTAAGATTGAGTCCGCTTATGGTTTGAAGACATGTTAGCACTTCTCATCCCATCTGCATAGCTCTTCATCACTCACCCCAGGTACATTCCAGCACCACCAGCACCTGCGATCACACGTCCGACTATGAGAGCATTCATATTTGGAGCCGCTCCGCAGACTGCGCTACCGACTTGGAAGATGACGATGCTCACCACCCAGAGCCATTTAACGTTCCACAATCCGTACGCTTTCCCGCTAGAATATGATGAGTTCCACAGGTTGGTTCTCGCGTTTTTCGTGCTATACGTACATGGGTAATAGCAAAGCGATGGAACCAAGAGGAAAGCCGCTGCCCAGCCAACTGAGCCTCTCGACCGCCCCAAAATTCTCGACGACAGCAGCCTGGATATCAGCGACAATAGTATTATCTAGGCCATACAAGAAGCTTCCGGTGTTGATCGCGATGGCCACCAGAGCCCACTGATCGATTCATCATCAGTCGCAGCGTAACAAATGGCCAGAATCCAAAGGGGAAAAAGCTTACACGCCAGCCTGGCATTGAGCCTTTCGTTGCTGGGCTAGTATCCTCCTCGATCTTCTTCTCATCTTTTGGTTTCGACAAAGATGGCTCAACGCCATTGGCCGAGGACATCTCCCTGGGCGCCTCTTCCAGCGCACGGTCGTCATACGACTGCAGGCGGCGAACGTCTGGAGCCTCCATTGCCTCTGAATATCTGGTGCTTCACAAAGTGAAAGAAAAGTGTAGACTGATAAGTGAAAAACATTGGCATCATTGAACAGGTCCTATATTAAATAGATACAACATTAATAAGCATTGGGGATCTAGAATCTAGAGAAAGACCGCATCTGCTGTGGAGCAAGTTGACGTAGCCGGTAGCTCTCTAGAGACTGCATCGTTTCGCGCGAGATCTACATGACCCCTTGCGCATTGTATTTGCCGTCATATTTAGCCATCGTTGAAAAAGAAAAAATTAAAAGGGGGGGGAAGGAATTGAAGCCTCATGCATTGAACTTAGACCCGGGGAGTCTTTGTTTGGCGACTTACAATGCAGCTCGATGATCGAAATCGGCCTGGGATTGGCCCCCGGTTTTAAGATCTGGCCAAACGCGAGTTTCAAGACAAGACGATGCATATTCGATGACCGAAGTCAGCCTGGGATTGGCTCGGTTTTAAGGTCTGGCCGAGCGCGAAGTGAGGGAGCATGCGCATTTGCTGGACGACCTTTTTGTCAGCCTTTTGTCAGGATCCTGTACTAATCATTTCCTGATTGCTAAGCGGTTCGAAGCAGTCAACTGACAAAGCATTGACGATGGCACTAGGTACCCGTTTTGTTGGTTAACTGAAGAGGAGATGGGACATAAAATTGTTTTGAAGAGGAAAGAAGAGAGAAGAAGATTCAAGTGCCCATCTTTCTCCATTCTGTCTCGCTAGGCAAGAAGCACCCTGACCAAACATGGCACCAAAAATTGCAATTGTATTTGTGCGTATACTGGAGCTCTTTGCAAAAAAATTCAAATCCGATTAAACTGAAGCTAATTCATCTGGTGCACTCAGTACTCTATGTACGGCCATGTGCAGCAGCTGGCCGAAGCGGAAAAAAGAGGTATCGAGTCTGCAGGAGGACAGGCCGAGATTTATCAGTAAGTGCCGTCGATACAAGTGCATCATCCAGTTGCGAGAGTTTCTTGACCGTGGTGGTATGGTTAGGATTGCCGAAACCCTCCCTCAGAATATCCTGGACTTGATGCACGCTCCACACAAGTCGTCCCATCCTATCATCGGACCAGAGAAATTGACCGAGTATGATGCCGTTCTCTTTGGAATCCCGACCCGGTATGGAAATTTTCCAGTGCAGTGGAAAGCGTTCTGGGACAGCACGGGCGCGATATGGCAAAGTGGTGGCTATTGGGGCAAATATGCTGGTCTTTTTGTTAGCTCAGGAACACTCGGTGGGGGCCAGGAGTCCACCGCCATCGCCGCGATGAGCACGTTAACTCACCACGGCTTCATATACGTTCCGCTTGGTTACAAGCCTGTGTTCCCACTCCTGACCGATTTATCCGAGGTTCATGGCGGCAGTCCATGGGGTGCGGGAACCTTTGCAGTAAGTTTCTTCTCGTTGAGACTCAAGTGTCCGCCCAAAAGATCTCAAAAATATATCCTTACAAATACATCGCTATCAGGGACCCGATGGCAGTCGCCAACCGACAGCTTTGGAGCTTTCAATTGCCGAAGCCCAGGGCAAATCGTTCTACGAGCATGTCAGCCGAGTCTCGAGCTGAGTTCCAAAGGATTGTACACTTGCCTGTGAATCCCAAGCACAGGGAGGATGGAGCGGTCTCGGGGCTGCTAAAGCACAGTATCCAAGAAGCCAACAGGTTTTGTTCCCAAATTTCGAACATCCCTAGAAGAGCCGACGGGCCTTTTGAACTGTAACAGCTCTACGATACAGCCAATCCTGGAAGTGAAGCTGAACAAGTACATAAACAATTTATAAAAACTAAAGTAAATATAGATAAAATGTTTTAAATAACTATTCTACTACTACCTATAGATGGCGAGAAATTTTCTATGACGTGCAAAGATAAATAGTCCGGAGTATGCCGGAGGAAACAATACAGTAGGTTCCCGGTCACGAGGGTGTGGAAGGGAATGGGAGAGCCGACCAAGCAGCCAAGCGGGCGGCGACGAAAGCGCCTCGAGCAGGATTGGAAGAACTCTCGCTCGCGTAGACACGACGCGCCTGTATGAGTTCGATGAATGGGCTTGGATATCTTGGAAGAAGCGGAACGAGAAGGAGAGGGTTGAAGGGAGAGGGTGGCTCGCTCGACGAGTGACACCCTACTGTACCGAACCAAAGGAGCCAATGCGGCCCGAAAGCCCTGCGCAGTGAGGCGGGTTGGGGCGAGGAAAGGTATAGAACGGTCATCATCAGATGTACATAGGAACTAGGTAGGGGCTACAGCCCACGACTCGCTGTCTTTCATAACAGAAAAGGCTCGGTAAGGGCGTTAAACTTGAATATAATAATAATAATAGGTAATCATAATAATTAGTGTAACCAAGGACCAAGTCAATCCAATAAGATTTAAGAAACAAACGTTATCCCTGCTCATCCAGATTGAATCAGTCCGAGGCTGACTCTGAGCCTTGTATGACGGTGGCTGATGAGACGCCGGGATTCTAAGCCGTGAGACTCGTCATCACGTCAGAGCCATATGCTCTCGACGGTAGGATAAGCACTAATAAATATGGCACAGTCCAGGCCGTGAGACTCGTTATCACGCCAGAGCCACATGCTCTCGACGGTAGGATAAGCACTAAATAAATATGGCAGAGGATTATGTCTGTGTCAGGAGCCGCGGTTTAAAACCCTCTGAACCGGCATCACACATGCGAGATACGAACCCCAACGAATCGTTCAGAGCTTTGTCGCCATTCCGGGTGCACGATGCCTCCAACTTCTCGCCAAATCAAGCTGCGAGCATCGTGCGACTCCTGCAACGAGGCGAGGGTTCGCTGCTCTCAAACGCGCCCCATATGTGAGCGCTGTTTGAAGAACGATATCGAGTGTATCTATGGCGTTTCTCAACGAGCCGGGAGAAATCGTTCATCCAACCCGAATCGAGGCCTGGATGTACGGAACCAACCTGCCTGGGGTCCACTGAACAACTCTCATTTCTTAGCGCATCAACCTCCGGCAGGAGGAATATTTGATGATTTCCTCCCGAATTCCTTTCCCCTGCTCGACGACCTGGCTACTGGACCGCCGAAACATGGATTCCCAGAAGCTAACATGTTTGCCGAAATGTTCGCCGCCATCTCTCCCTCACCCACACCGAATGCAAGTGAGATTCCCGCCATGGATGGCCTGGAGAACAGTCTGACAGATGCAACGTGCACTTGTGTCTCCACTGTCTTTTCATTTTTCTCTTCGAATCCTATACTTACACGGACTCATCCTGCTCCCATCGACGTATGCCTCGTCCAGGGGCGAGAGTCGATCAATATCTGCGAGCGTATGTTGAACTGTGTCAGCTCGTCTCGCCACCACTACAGCTCCCTCATTACCGTGGCCCTTCTGATTGATCGAGTCGTGGCCATATACGATAGAGCAAGGCAACATTATTACCAGACCCTCCTGGTTCCGCCATGCACTGCGGTGTCGACCAGCTCTTTGTCAGGGGTGCCTCGTTCGCCACAGTCGTCGCGAAATTCCAGATCCCCTTCCCTGGCAGGAAATATGCCAGCATCGCTGGTGGACATATCCGCCCAGGACCTATCACTATGCCTCGGGGGACAGTCCCGCGGGTCTGCATTCATTGGACAGTACCAACTGGACGAAGATGACGATGTGAAGCTGACCTTTGAAGTCGTGTTTCGCCATCTCTCCAGGATAGAGAATCTCATTAGATCCTTCAGAAACGGCATATCGGGGGAAGAGCATATGAAGTCGTCCGCCATCGAAGGCATCTCATCATCGCCTACGGAAGATCAAGAATTGGGGTATGATCGTCAGGTGTCCGTGTGTCTGGGGTTGGCAGACCTGATCGAACGACAATTAAACGTCGCGCGTAGTGGGTGGGAATCAATTTGCAAAGAATGGGAACCTTATCAATCAAATCGCAGATAAACGTTTTGTCTTATACATGGACTGCATGTACAAGCAAGTTGCGAATAGGGCGTTCCGCTGCGCACGGAGGCCTTGACACAGACAGTGGACTCTGACGAGATTCATGAATATAGATATTGAGCAACAGAATGAATTGCAGCACTTTTGTCATGGCAGTTAGCACTTTTCTCTGCTGAGGGTGCGGCTTACGTTAGATATACATATGACGGAACAACGGTAGAGATGGAATTGATGAATAACATGAGCTTGGTTCAGATAGCTAAGTGATTAACCAGAGAATAGCACTAATTTCAGGTATTTATGCAAACGAGCGTGGTGTGAGATCCTAAGCGAGTGACATCTGCAGGTGACGGAGCTTCCACACATGATCTGAGGGTCAACATACATGACCTATAATGATCACTTATCCCTGTAGCTTCTCGCATGTAATTAAATGCATTTCATTATCCTAATCCCATCTGCAACTCGGTATCGGGCGTCACGGAAACAAAAGCGCCAGCCTTGCTCAACTTCTCCGCATCCGATGAAGTCATATTATATGCATGAGCACGAGGATATCGGAGCCAACAAGTCCATAGTCATCAATTACGTCGACGAGAGGTACAGGGCCTTGCTGTCCCAAATGAAGGTGATCACATAGGCACATACACAAATAAAATACAACTAGAATTTAAATTTACTTTTTTTGTTCTTTTGATGATTATGCTTACTATATGAAGTAATTGTAGCTGGGAATTGGAGATAGCATTGTGGCCGTATCGGCTTCGCTTCCGGACTTACGCTTAATCCTCCACCGCATCGCTGCGTCCTCCGTATAGGTAACTAATGTTTACCAAGTTATGTACGTACGTTACAGTCCATTGGGCTGTTTCGGGAGGAGAGCATATGAAGTGCAGAAGACGTCCTTGGGGTCGTATCTCTCTTTGAGAGTCGTCAGTCGAGGAAGATTCGTTTTGAATATCTGCTCGGCCGGAAGCAGAAGACCTGGTCGACAACATCAGCAACGGCCATCAACCCCCCATGGAGCCACCGGGGAACGACTCACCGTCGTAATTGGAATATATCCTGACCGCGTCCAGGTCGACATCAGCGCCCTCTTCATGCTTCATGCGTTCCAGCTCGCCATCCAACTTGGCTGCGGTCTTGCTGACCCATTTCCGGGCAGGGAGATCATGTTCCGGAACACTCCACTGAGCCACAACAAAGCAGACCTGGTGAAGCCGGCGACCGGCAAAGGCCATGGAGTCCACCGGAACCTGGCCCATCTTTTCCTGGTGGGTAATTTCCAACATGATCATGCTCGGTGCCGCATCCGGGGAGACCTGGGACCGGAATTCCACGAGATCATCGGCCAGGGACTTGAGGAAGTCGACCCGCAGCGGCATGGCGAATGCGACCCCATGATACTGGCGGCGAATGCCCCAAGGAACCTTCGGCGTGAGAATGGTGTTAGCTTCGGTATACGGTCTCTCCCTGGTGGTATTGGCTATGTGCTCCAGAGCAAGTAGTGGTGCAAAAAGCACCTCGGCCTCTTCGTTCCCGCCGGGATAGAAAAGCGTGACGGTGAGCATGTTTGCTGGAGGGCCGGCAATGCTGACGTTCATGGCCGCCTTCGCCTTGTTAGTCGATGGGAATTGGTTCACAAAGTCCACCACCGCCGGTAAGGCATCCAGCTTCATCATCAGCTGACCGGCCCAGATAGGGTATGCCAAATCATATGCTTGATAGGTGAACTCAACCGCCACGCCGAAGCATTGACCAGCACCTCTCGCCGCCCAAAACAAATCCGGGTTTTCTGTCTGCGAGGCTGTGACAATTCTCCCATCCGCCAGGACCATCTTCACTGACAGCAGATTGTCCGCCACCAGGCCATATTTTCCCGAGAGCCAGCCAACACCACCTCCGAGAGTGAGTCCCCCGATGCCCGTGTTGCCCACCCGGCCTCCAACAGTGGCCAGCCCGTGCTGCCCCAGAGGGATATCGATATCCTCCCATCGACAGCCTCCTTCCGCGGTGATGGTCTTCTTTTCGACGTCGACCGAGGTCTTATTCATGGCCGTTAAGTCGATCAGAAGCCCTGTCGTCGCGGCAGACCCATTGGTTCCGTGTCCGCCGCCGACCACAGCGACCTCGAGATGCATGGCTTGGGCGAAGAGAACGGCGGTGGAAATATCCGGCGCGCACGTGGCCTTGAGGACAATTGCCTGTCATTCTATCAGTGCCGCTCTGCAGCCAGGAGCATTACTCGCTGGGACTTGCCGATCTCTTTTCCGTGTTGGGTGCCCATCTGTGCATGGCTGCATCATACTCTGCCGTACCAGGGGTGAGCACGCTCGAGTCTTTGACAGCGGCCTGGAGTGCTTCAGCTGCCAAAGACACGATGTTCCTGCTGACGTCCATCGTCAATAGAATAAATCTAGCCTAACCAAGTTCGGTTGAACGTATTTTCTGATTGGTATGGATGGTTGAACAGTCTGAACGCTCTCTATTATTATGGCGATAAGAGGGAGAACACTGTTTATTCTACACCATATGTGTCATGGTTGAGGAAAATGGCATGATCATTTTGCTTCGTCTGGGAGTTGTACCGGATATACTCGGTCATCGAGACCCGTTTCGATCACCGATAGTGTTGTGGTGGGCAAACCCTAATGTGGTCCTCCATCATGGTCTCTCGTGTTGGCACAGGGTACGCTGCGCGGAGTATTCCTAAACTCGGATTAACTACTGCTCAGCAATCATCACCATTGTCCTGTGGATGCTCCGGCCATCTGCTCCAGCCATCTTCCGCCCGAAAGAGGATGGGGCAGCAACCGGCACAACGATGGCGTACGCTGTCATCCACTAACCCGAGATAAGAGAGGAGATAAGACAGTACTTTTCATCAACTCGAATGATTAGCGACACCAGGGTGGCTTGTTATTGGCGATATTCGATGCCCGTCACCCGCCGCGGATACGTCGCGCAGAAAGGAACTATCATAGGCAGTGGGTGAGATTTAAGTATGAAAGTATAACCTGATGAAGGTATGGATCCAGATGCGTAGGCATGAAGATGGATTGTGTCTACGCCTCGAGAGGTGGTGGGCAACGCGTTAGCGTGGATAGTACTGACTCCGTAGACTCATCGGAGCTGGCCAATCAGGTGGCAGGCCTCAGTGACACCCATATCAGCTCGAAGTGGACTCTGAAAATGACCGGCACGGAAGATGTCCGAGAACACCCGGGCTTGACTGTAGACGGTATTGGATTTGGGGTTGTCTGTGTTCCATCTGGGCAACGAGAGTGATTTTAGTGCGGCGGTGATGTTCGAATAGCCGTACCGTGCGTCTGCTAAGCGATAAAGTCGGCCAGCAGAGAAATTTCAGGTGAACAAAGATGACCCACCTTTGCGATTTCTATATCTCCCTCATTCTGGCTGGTCTCTCGTAGGAACACCTGGTCTCGCTCCAGAGTCTTCCTACTCTTGGCGCCTCGTTGTTTCCCATTCCGATTGGAAAGTGTATTTACACGTCACTCCCAGCCGCTCACCTCGACCGCAAGGATGGCCCCGGGTGCACTCAATTTTCTTCTCACAGCAGCCATTGCAAGAAGACCGATACTTCTTTTGCCCCATAGAAGGAGGCATGGATGTGTCGGTTTTGTCATTCATGGCTATGGTAAAGGAGGAAACTTGGTTCATTATGAAAGGCAACCCCCCGTTATAGCTGGAGGATTCTAGAGAACTCCACAGGGGCCAATATACCGCTGCCATCAGCTCAATCTCGAGTTATAGCAACCATAAACGCGGGTACAGCAATTCAGGGCCTTTCCAAGTATGTTGATATTTGTCGCATAGGATTCCGATTCCGCCAGGATGCAGCCGTCGTCCACCCATCCATACGGGGTGGTGCTGGATATGTAGCTCCTGCCCTGTGACATTCTGGGTGTATGGTATCTGGAGCTCATGGTAGTCCCAGCTGTGGACTCCGTGCCGCCAACTGCCCAGGTCCAACTTCCTTGATATCAGCATGCAGACCCGGGTTCCTTCCCCTCCGGTTTCCGTGGCCTTTGGGTATAGCAGTTGGTGCGTCTGGTTCGCTGGGTGGTGGGTGGTTCCTTGGTATGGGTTGTCCCATGGTTCCTGGATCGCGATCACGTCTGCCTCGAGCACCTCCTTGGTGCGAAGAAAGGGGGCCATGACCTTGTCTTTGGATCGGTGCGTGTTGTATTGGAGTACCTGTAAAGGTTTCTTATTCATTGCGTTGGTTGGTTGGCAGGTTTCCTGTTGACTTCATGTGCCCTATTGGTTGGTTCTCTTTCCCAGCTGATATCCCCTTCGCCTTGCGTTTTACCGATCCCCGTTCCGCACTGGTATCATTGGAGCTTCGCACCGTTAAGGCCATTGAGTTCGTTGTTGTGGATGGCGCGTATTCGCTGGTGGTTCCCCCTGCTAATTCATCGTCGTCTTCGTCTGAGGAGGAGGGGCCTGAGTGGTTTCGCTTGGTTGACCGGTCGTCCATTTCGTGAAGAACCCATCTGGTGCTTTCCTTATTCAAGCTAACCGCCGGTCCGGGCTTTGGGGCCAGGATGAGTTGTCCTGTCCCCTCTGCCGCCGTGTCCGTTTGGCTAGCTTGGAGGGCCTTCTCCAGCAGCCGTCGGCTGCGCTTGATGTTCATTGTTTTACGCGCCGCTGCTCGCGTTGGTGCCGACCTGGCCACGGCCTTGCTAACCGCGTTCTTTTTCATCACCCTCATCGCCGGCTCTGGTGCCTTGGCCGTTGGTGGCCGGCTTGAGTCCCCCAGTTGCGATGCTTTGTTCCCCATTGCTGGAACTCTGCATCATTTCCACGTCTTCTGGCTCTGAGTCGCTATCCCCAGAGCCAGAGGCTGTTTCAGCAGTTCCAGAGGCACTTTGGGTCCCTGAGAGCACCGATTCAGCGAGGTAGGCTGGTATCCGATGATACCGCTGTCGGTGCTTTGCCGCTTCTTGTACCCGTTCAATTTCCTTCCAATAGGCCGCACATTGGTGAGACCATCCTGGATGCGCGCCCCCGCAGTTGGCGCACTTGCGAGCTTGTAAAGATCCGTCCTGCTTGCGTTGACAAGCCCGAGTCTGGTGGCTTTCAGCGCAGTAGACGCAGGCGGGTGGGTTGGTGCAGGTGTTTCCTATGTGTCCTTATTTTTGGCAGTTAAAGCATTGTCGGATGCGCGCTGACCAGTCATGCAGGACCGTGGTCAAACTGTTAGAGTCCCAGATGGTCCATGAATCAATGGCCCTGTTGGCCGCTTGCGGCGTGGTGAATTCGATCACAATTGAGGATGATTTCTTACCCTCTGGGGGCGCGGTGAGCCACCCGATATGGTGGATTTGGGCATCACCCCATCCAAAGTGGTTCTCCGACAGCAACTGGTCGATAATTGACTATTTGTTATCCAGATTCATTGACTTTACCTGTACGTCGTGGACCACCACCCCCAGGTTTGGAGGCGCACCTCCGCCGACTTCCACAGGCCTTTGACCCAGTCCCTGCGGGTGTCGGGCCACCTCAGCTTCCGCTGCAGAGCGGACGCTGAGGCTCAAGTCACCTGACTTAATTGTCTGTGGATCTCGACGGCGCCATTAATACAAGACCGCAAAGGACATGCACGGATGCATTGACTGACTCCTCCTTACTGTTGGAACGTGACCCCGTCCCCTGTGGCTTAGCTCCCTTGCTTAGTCATCATCAGATAGATTTCTGGTCCCGTCCCGGGTACCATCCAATGGACAAGCATCCATCGCTTCACACTTACGTACAGTCACGGGTATTCAAGCGAATTATGCTGGATTTGTTAGCAATCTTGTCGAGAGCATATCACTTGGATCCTGGTCTGATGATCGAAAGAAAGATTTTATATATAAAGAAGATAATCTAGAATTATATTTAAATTTAAAATAGAAAATCTTATTAGTTATATACAAATTTGTGGAAATATATAGCCAAATAAGTTATAGGTTTAGATAGATTTTATATAACGTATTCAACTACCGAGTGTCAATAAGATTAAGGTCAAACAAGAATACTCATACAAATGCGAATTTTTGTTCTGTTATATCTCAACATCCTTTAAAGATAATGAGTAGATAATATATATTCTAAAATTAGAGAGGTTAACATACATAAATCTTATCATTTTTAGCTTAATCACTGGTCTAGTTTAGAGTTGCATTTGGTGTGAGTTCGGGTCCAGCCTACCAAAACCGGCACCGAATCGCACTGGATTCGGGTCCATTTCTTAGAACTCGGAACACACCCTGACCCAGTGTATTTGGTTCGGGTTTCACCGTAAAAGCCCACTACTAGGCCTAGATAGGCCTAGCTAGGCCCCTACTAACTAACCATGGTTAGATTCAGTGTGGTTAGTTTCGATTAGGTTGGATAAACAGTTAAATTTCAATGGTTTTTAGAATTTAATTTCTTATATCTTAGGGGCCTATCGAACATGCTTATATAAAATTATTATTTTCATATGAAATATATGGTAATTATCATCATACTAATCTATATCTAAAATATCGATTCGATATCTATATGGTTGAATGGGTGGTTGTCATGGGCTGACCCCATGACACGCACCGCATTGTGTATGCGGCTGTGGTCACGTGGTTCCCTGTTAGTCCGCCGCCGTGTCATCTTAGCACGAAGACAGCCTGTACCTAGTTTTCTTCCTTCTTCAGCAATTCCACTCCATTCCTTCGTGGCCTATTGGGACGGCTAGAGTAAAGCCCCGGACTGGGATATTCTAGCCCGTGATGTAGCGGGCAGGGCCCGCAAATTGCTCGAGCCCGTCTATCGGGCACTCGCGAGGTCATGTACATCCCGGACGCTGGTCACGTGACATTGTTTACCGTGCGCGTGTTGATATTTGTTCGGCCGCCGCGGCCTTAGTTAGAAGTTCCTTAGCGAGTTCTTACAGTCCAAACCTATAATATAGGTTGAATTGGCTTCTAGCCCGCGACACGTGACAGTGGTGGTTGAAAAATCATTTTTGAACTATGGTGGTTGTCAACTATCGGTCACATATATATCCACACCACTTTCGTACCAACCCATGACAAAAATAATTATTCCCTTATATCTCAGCAACCACTAGATACTTTGAATCGATGTTTTATATCTAGATAGCCTAGTATCTAGGCTATCTAGTGATATCAAAATTTCTGGAAAATCCTAGAAATTAGTGATTACTAAGCAAAATGGTGCGGGTTGGTGAAACCAAACCGATAAAACCGCAAAAACCATAACCAATGGTTTTAACCGAACTCAAATCGGTTCTGGGGTAGGGAAACTGAAACCAAAGCGATTCCCTAGGCTAGGCACCGAACCCTCACCACTGCGAGTTCGATGAGGGTTGGATTCGATTTTAGTGGTTCGGTTATGCAACTCTAGTCTAGTTACCATAATAATATAAAAATGTAGTGTAATTTTAGTACAAAAATAAAAAATAGGTATTTTAAAACCAATATGTTTATGTTACGAACATACATGCTATGTATATAAAGGGTGCGCCAACTGGTAGAGGGCGTGGCACTAGTCATGTGACCCGCAAAGGGGTTTCTACGCTGCTGAGTTGCAACGGATGAGCAACTCAGCGATTAGTTCTTGAATACAGGCATACGCACCCTTTGCCCCTATCACGCTATCTATCACCGATTTAGGCATCTCTACGGAGACATGTGTCGTAGAGGCCTAACAGTTTATAATCTACTTTAAACTTATTCTGCAGGTAGTACTACTTATATATAATATATTCTTTACATTAGGACCAATGATATAATATAAATGGTGAGATATATCAGACCAAAATATTGCATTTTGTATGGGTATTTTTGTTTGACCGCTCGGGGGTATTGACCACTCGGTAGTTGAATACGTTAAATAGAACTATAAGTAATAGATTATAGATCCGGCTAGTTAGTAATTATCTAAAGTAAAACCTTTACATTATATATTACTATTTAGCCCTAGCGGGCGACGGAAGGGTCGGTTAGTAGTCTCTGGCAGATCATTTCTGGATTTCATGTTCTAGACCAAGGAGATCGATCGGTTATGTGCCATGAGGCTTCAGCGGCGGCCCGGTGTGCTTGTATCGCCAGATACTGACCAGGTTCCGGTCCCAAATGCCGTAGTCGATTGATTGCGGCCCGCGAGTCTGAGAGGACGGTAACTGGTCCTCTTCCTTGGATACGCTTGGCCAATTCGAGGGCTCTGCATGCCCCCATCACTTCGGTGTCAAACCCCTCCTTCCCCTTTCCCAGAGGTATCTCTTGGGTCTGCCACTCGCCTCGTGCGTTCTGCCATGCAATCCCCGCTCCGCTTTGTCCACTCTCCAGCCGAGAACCGTCGGTCCACAACACGATTACACGACACTAATCCTGTACATGACTCGAAGCGTCCAAGTGACCTCGGTCACCGAGGGATTTCTAATCAATAGCGGGGAGTAATGCAGGGTTTGAGTGGGTTGCATGGAATCATCTAATTATCCCTGTTGTAGGTGAGTGTCTTGCTCCCCGAAATTTGAGTGCACCCAGGAGCAATAGTCAAAACCCTGTTTCACTCGTCCCAGCTAGCCAGGGTATTTGGTGGTGCTTTGCATAACGTCTAGCTTGGTGTGGCGATTTCTTCAGAACAGGGGATTTGGGAGGCATTATTAAGTTTTATCGCAGTCTGGGAATTTAATAATGCCAGTATCTCGAAAATGGACTATGAGCATGATCTCACGGATGAACTAAGTTATCAAAATACTGGTCGTTTATACATTCAACCCAATTCGCTTAATAATTATACATACATACATCGCTAGAAATGACGGATAATTTTGTATTGAAACCTGTTATACGGTATACTAGGTGTAGCTGGTCGCAAGTCTGCGACCACCTAAGGCCTGCGGAGCAAGCAGTATGCTAAGCAGCAGATATTCAACTAAACTACTTCAATTATTAATTAGATGCTAGGTGGCCTAGTTAGTTATAGCTGGTAAGGTAGATATCTAAATTCTACAGTACTATCCCAAAAGGTTAGAGAGAAAGGCATTAATAGTTACCTGGGGCCCTGCCCCCCAGACACGACCCCCCCAACCCCCTTTTACTATATATTAG